AAAATGTTTCAAAACATTTTCCTTTTACATTTTGTGTGTGTTTTTCTTTTTTTTTTATTTTCCTTTTATAGTAACAGTAATTTAATAAAGTTTTTTCCCCTTTGTTATTAAGCTTAAGCCTGCTTTGCCCTGTTCTCAATCGCATTTCACAGCATTCAATTAAAAAGTTGCATTTTCATGGGGGTGCTGGCATTGTGCCTGTGTCAAACCACAACACACCCCCAGGAGCTGCTGGCTAAAAAATGCCTCAAATCCACTTCCCATGGAAGATCAGTGTTTGATGAAGGGTCTCAGCGAGGTTTTCTCCTGCATCACCTCACCCCAACCCAGGATTTGGGGCAGGGCAGCAGAGGGAGGGGGGATCCCCACTTTTCTCTGGGATTTAATCCTCTCTCAGAGCTTTGCAGAGGAGATCAGGATTTTTCCCAGCCTGATGTGTTTCCTCCTCGGGGCCTCTTGTTTGCACAGGCGGCTGTGAGCGTTTCCTCCTGCCGGAAAAGTGCCGGATGGGCACTCACATCCCCACCTTCCCCAGCCCCCAAATCACCTCTAATTCAGGAATTACATCCCCTCAGCTCATCCCCCCAAATCCTGCAGTGCTCCCCTGCATCCCCTCAGCTCATTCCTCAAAAATCCTGCAGTGCTCCCCTGCATCCCCTCAGCTCATCCCCCCAAATCCTGCAGCGCTCCCCTGCACCTCCTGCTTCTGGTTTTTAATCCAAGAGCACACAGGGCCCTGAGCCCTGCCAGGTTTGGGAATTCCAGTCCAATCTCCAAGTGCTGCTGCTCTGATGCAAAAGAGAGAGAAATAATCAAATACAGACCTGGGGGGTGTCCCACAGCAGTTAAATCGCGGGGTTTTTCCTGCAGGGCTGGAACAAGGAAGAGATAAACCACGTTTGCTCCAGAGCACAGGCAAACAACTGCTTATCACCACGTTGGCAGTCTCAAGGCTATTGCAGGGTGTCAGGAAAAGTGTCATTCCTCTCCCGGGAAAGGTTCTATTTTTGGCCCCTCTGTCACAGGGAGCTGTGGGAGAGCAGCCAGCCCTGCAGAGACCCTTCCCTCCCTGCCAAACTCATCGGGAGGGATGATTTTGGGGGAAACTGAGGCAGTGCTGGTTCAAGCTGCAGAATCACCCTAGCCTGGCTCCTAGAGAAAGCTGCAGGGAGGAGTTAGAGCCTCTTGCAGGGCCTGAAGGGGATCCAGGAGAGCTGGAGAGGGGCTGGGGACAAGGGGATGGAGGGACAGGACACAGGGAATGGTTCCCACTGCCAGAGGGTGGATTTAGATGGGATTTTGGGCAGGAATTCCTCCCTGGGAGGGTGGGCAGGTCCTGGCTGTGGCTGCCCCATACCTGGAAGTGTCCCCAGGACAGGGCTTGGAGCAGCCTGGGACAGTGGGAGGTGTCCCTGCCTTGGCTGGGGTGGAATGAGATGAGATTTAAGGTCCCTCCCAACCCAAACCACTCCATGATTCTGTGATAACACAAAACCCAGCTGCAAAGGGGCAGAGCTAGGCTTTGTGCTGGATTTTCCAATGACATTTTAGTGGTCATTGGTCATTTTCAGGCTAGAAAATGATGAATCCTGTGTCCTTGGGTGGGGAGGGACAGAAAAAGCCACAGCAGGCCTGAGCCAGTGCTGGTGACAGCCCTGAGTGGTGGTGAGAGACCACCAGGTCCTCCTGCCAGCACATTTGTGACACTCCCTGCACCACAATTCCCTTGCCAAAGAGGACAGATCCATCCATTCCTCCCTCTCTCCCAGCCCTCACCCCTGCAATGCCCAAACCCACACAGCCAGCACATGGAAAAAGCCCATTTTTGATGATTCCCTTCTGTCCAAGTGTGAGATGGGTAATTGAGGGTAAAATTCCATCCAGGCTGCTGAAAACAGCCCGATAAATGAGCTCAGCTCTTTGCTGCTTGACTCAGCTAATCCTTCAGCTGCCTCCAGAGAGCTTTGATTGTCTCTCCTCTCCTTGGGCTCCCTTGAACGCCAAGGCCGAGCTGTGGCAGCTGCAGCAGCCCCGTGCAATTCATAATCTGCCTTTCTTCCTGGCTGCACCGCTGAGCAGAGGTCGGCTCCCGCTCCTGGCGTGATTTATGAATATGGATTGTGTTGGTTAAGCCATTAGGAGCGGTGATGGAGCAATTCCTGGTACATCCTGCCTGGCGCAGCGCCTCATTTGCAGCCCGCCCCGCAGAGCGTCCCCTGCACCGCTGCTCATGCAGGGAGATTGTGTTAAGGCTTTGTCTGCAATGCTGTAATTCCACCTCGCCTCCCTGAGCCCTCTCCAGTGGGAACCAGCCCCGTGCAGGCAGGGAGGTGCTGGGGGAAGGAGGGAATGCGTGACAGCGGGAGGAGCTGAGATCCCGCCCCAAATGGCTTAAAGGAAAGGGTTAAATCTGCTGCCAGCCCAGCGGGGACCCTGTTCTGGATGTTGGTGGTGCTGCCCCAGCGCCTCTATCCATCCGTCTGTCCATCCATCTATCCATCCATCCATCATCCATCCATCCCTCATCCATCCATCCATCCATTCCTCATCCATCCATCCCTCATCCATCCCTCATCCATCCATCCATCCATTCCTCCATCCATCCATCCATCCATCCATCCATCCATCCATCCATCCATCCATCCATCCATCCATCCATCCATCCATCCATCCATCCCTCCACATGAGAATCTTTGGGAAGGGTCCCAAGCAAAGGCAAAATTTTCCCTTCACGGCAAAAATGCTTGGAAAGGAGCACGAGAAATATCCAAGTGTTTTCCAGAGCGGCAGAAAATTAAATTTCCATGTTATTTATCCAAGAACTCCTAAATTGGGCAGATCCACTCATCAGCATCCCCTCGTTTGTTTTTAATTAGCGGGAGCACACAGGGCCTGAGCCAGGCAGGTAATGGAGCTCGGGATGGTGGGAGATCAGGAAAAGCATCCCGCCGGGCTGGGAGCAGGGCTGGGATGAAGGCACCGGAGCAGGGAACAGCGGGACACTCGCTCTGAGGGCTCAGGGGGATGGAAACCAGGACTGAGGGACGGGGGTCACACGAGGCTCCGTGGGAAGAGCGGGACTGCAGCTCTGGGTGGGCGGCGTGTCCCAGGGCAGGAATAATTTGGGTTCCTGGAGGTGAGGAGGGGGATGAAAAGGTGACAGAAAGCCCCAGGGAGGGAAATGCTTCCAAGAGAGGTAAGATATGAAGGGAGGGAGCAAGGGGAGGGAATTTGGGGTTGGGAGATGGGATGATGGGAGCTGGTTCGCTTGGGATCAGCTGGAGAGGGGTGGGATGTGGGATGTGGGACAGTGGGTTGGTGGGGGAGCAGGGGAGGAGGGGCTGAGTCCCACAGGGTGTCCCAGGGGTCCCGGAGGTCCACACGTCTGTGTGGGGCTCCCAGTCCCGTGAGTGTCCACGCGGATCCTGATCCCATGAGCGTCCATGTCCACATGGATCCCAGTCCCATGTCAGTGTCCATTTGATCTCCATCTCACGAGTGTCCGTATGGATCTCGGTCCCACAAGTGTCGGTGTCCGTGTGAATCCCTGACTGACGCGTGGCCATATCCACGTGGAGCCCAATCCCACGAGTGTCCACGTGGATCCTGATCCCATGAGTGTCCGTGTCCATGTGGATCCCGATCCCACGAGTGTCCATGTGGAGCCCAATCCCATGAGTGTCCGTGTCCATGTGGATCCCAATCCCACAAGTGTCCACGTGGATCCTGATCCCACAAGTGTCCACGTGGATCCTGATCCCATGAGTGTCCGTGTCCATGTGGATCCCAATCCCATGAGTGCCCATGTGGATCCCAATCCCACGAGTGTCCATGTGGATCCCGATCCCACGAGTGTCCACGTGGATCCCGATCCCACGAGTGTCTGTACTGATCGAGGTCCCGTGAGTGTCCATGTAAACATGTGAATCCCAATCCCACAAGTATCCATGTCCATGCGGATCCCGACCCCACGAGTGTCCGTGTCCGGTCTCCCGGCGCCCCCTGGCGGACACGGCGCGGCTCAGCCTTATATTATTTTATAAGTTAGCTAGAAATATATAAAACATATAAAGAGATGTAAAACATAGAAAAATATATAAAACATAGAAAAATACAGAAAAATGTGCTATTAAAACTATATTATATATCCCCCTCATGGGATGAGGGGAAGGCATCAGTGATATAAAACATACATAATTTTTTATATTTTATATAATTTTATAAGATAGCTAGAAATGTCTAGAAATATAGAAAACACATAAAAATATAGAAAACATATAAAAATATAGAAAACAAAAATATAGAAATCATTATAGAAAAATATCGAAAACAGAAAAATATAAAACAGAAAAATGTAGAAAAATTAAAATATAGAAAAATATAGAAAATATAGAAAAATAAAATATAGAAAAATATAGTAAAAATATAGTAAAAATATAGTAAAAATATAGTAAAAATATAGTAAAACTATGGTAAAACTATGGTAAAAATATGGTAAAAATATGGTAAAAAAATGTAACTATATTAAAATTCTATTAAAACTGGGAAATGGAAGATGCCAGACATCCAGAGGACAGCACTGGGAGCTGTGACAGAGCACTCCAGCCTGGATTAAGCACCAGCACTGAAGCAGAGCCATTTCCAGCTTAGGAGTTCCTGCCTGAATTTAGGGAGTTCAGAGCTCCACGGGCAGGGTTTGCTCCCAAAACCAATCAGCTGCCAAGGAACATTCCAGCAAAACTGGGCTGCAAAACTGAGAGCACAAAATTCCCTCCAGGAGGAGAGAACAGAAAACAGGGATAAGGCAAGAATTGGGATTTCACAGCACGAGGTGTGGGATGTGTGTCTGACATCTTCAGGAAATCAGAATTGCTCACCAAGTACCCAAACAAGGGAAAATTTTTTCCTATCCCACACTAGAAGACAAGCACATCAGGAGGGTGGAACTACATTTTTCTTTGGGACAAGGAGGGGAAAGAAAGGAAGCAAACAGAACTAAGTTCACAAAACTTTGCTTTTTATTATTTGAAATTGGAAAAGGCTCCTTGGGTAACAATGATCAGGTGTAAAAGTAACACACAGGGCTTGCTCAGCTTTCCAAAACCTGGGGTGAAGTAAGCCAGATGTTGATTTTACACATCCCATTCCACTCAAATTCACCAAGAAAAGAACAGGCAAACCCCCAGCCCTTGGACAGGTGAGGTGGTTAAAATGCAACTTTTCATGTTCCACATGGATATTTGTGGTGGTGGATGTCCAATGGTTTCCTCCCACTGCCCTCTGTACAAAGCAGGGATTTATGTTCCACCTTCATTTTTAATATTTTTTATAATAAAGAGACTTATCCACACTCAAAACCTACAGAAAATGCCCAGATTAATCCATCAGTGTCATGTTAAAGTGGTGAGTGCAAAATACACATGGGAACGGGGAAGGGGGAGTAATCAATGACAAAACAAAAGTGCAGATTGCTTTAATTAAGCTAATGAACACAAGACGAGCCAAGTGCTCTTTGCCTCAAAAGTTCCAAGGATTGCAATCCACACAAAAAACCAGAACCACACATTTGAGTCCAGCACACAAAGCACCCAAAGCTCGGTGGCACTCACAGTTTGGTACCTCTCTCTTCCAGCCCACATCCCAAAGAATTCCCTGTCCCACTGGGAAGGGCAGCAGGAGCACCACAGAGATTAGTGGCCACGTGAGCAGCCAGCTACAAACAGAGTTAACACATTACCATTCCCTAAACTAGCAAGTTGAGCCTAAACAACCCATTTCCACACAACACCCAACACCCCCATCAAGTTCCACTAGGTGTAAATTAATAAAAAGCCAAGAAAAATTCATCCTTGTTGAAAAGTAAACACGGAGCCAGCTGTGGCTTGGGCTTTTCCTGGGAGCACAGGATTCCCTCTTTCCTCAGCACACATTTCCTAAGGAACTGCCCTCCCACTGCTGACACCCAAATTTACAAACAATTCCATCCTTTTTCCTCCTCCTCAGTAAAATCCAGCCTGACAAATCCCCGTGGAAGGCAGAGTCCCCCACAACCACCAGGCCTGAGCACAGCACATTCACGGCTCTCAAACCAGGCCCAAGGCAAACAAACTGGAGCTTTGATGTTCCTGTTTTCCAGCTGGCCAAATCCACATGTTTTGACAACACAGGGAGCAGGATGGAGGAGCAGAACCCATCCCCAGCACATTGAACCAGACACTTGTCCCCAAATTGTCCCCAAGCCAGAATTCAGCTCCAGGTCTCGCAGTGGCCACCGGGGCTCTGCAACCTCCCTGCAAAGGCTTTGTTTAATCCAAAAGGCTCCTGCCAAGAGTATTCCTACCCCTGACAAGTTGTTTTCCATCCTCGCCAGCACTTTCCACCCATCTGGGATGAAGAAATCCAGCCAATTGTCCCCAAGATTTCCTGCAGAGCCAAAAGGACGAGGAGACGTCGGCAGCAGAGATTTATCACCATCTGCAGGGCCCCAGCACACATTATCCCTGTCAACAGCTCTCACAAAGATCCCAACGGGCTGCAAAATTGGGATTTGGGAGAGCAGTGGGAATGCAGAGCTGTGCAGGGGGTGGAACAGCCTGTACCAAGCATAAGCAAACACAGCCAAGGCCTGTCCTGTCAGCACAGCTTCCCACGAGGAAAGGCAGCACTGGGAATGCAGGAGCATCCCCCTCACCACGGGGGATCAAATCCAGACCTCCTGCTCCTAAATCTGTCTCCCCTTTCCCAAAGATTCCAGGGCTGGGAGTTTTAACCCCATGTTATCCTGCTTTGCTCTGGAAGCACTGGCAGAGGACTCACAAAGGAGCATCCCAGCATTCCCAAATCCATCTTCACTGGATGTTTTCCTCATCCTCAGCCAAACCAGAGGGAATTTTCTTCTGAAATGCCACAAAAGCCTGTCAGGCTTAGAGCAGCAGAAGGTGAGAAAAGGCATCAGAAGAACATTAATACAAAATTTGCCGTTTCCTTTGCTCCAGACAGAATGAAGCCAGGGGTAAAGCATTTTTCCCTTTAATCAGGAATTATCCCGACATTTTGAGGCCAGCCAGGTGAGTTATAAATAAAAAGATGCCACTACAGGGGCAAGGCAGAGCTGGGAAAATTCCCACAGGCTTCAGCCTCCACCAAAGCCTTTCTCTCCAGGCAGCCAAGCAGGCTTGGCCATCAGGAAACCCTTGGCACTGCCACTGAAAAGGTTCAGAAGGGACAAACAGCCTGGAGAAGAGCAGATGCACAACCTGTGCCAACAACAAACAGGTGACACCTTGTCCAGGTGACAAAGGACAGAGGCTACAGACAGGTCAGTACTTGGGAGAGTGACTCAAGCCTCAGGTACTTGCAGGACAATCAATGCAATCTGGATTTTCATCTAATTAAAAAAAGTTTAATTAATTAAAAAAGCTAAAAGCAAAAATTATCAAGTCAGCTGTGTAAAATTTTAGGATTTTTTGTGGGGATATTGAAATGGGGAGGAATCTGCAATCAGAGCTACAGATTCAGCTGAAGAAGAGCTGGCTTTAGGGACAGGCAATGGGAACAGCAGCCCAAGGGCACATCTCCCATCCCTTTGGGCTGTTAGAACACAAGGCAGAACTGCAGCAGCCTAACAGCAAATTCCAAGATGAACAGGCCACTGAGATACCAAATAAATTGCTAATCACAGAATCATTTAGGCTGGAGAAGATCTGAGATCAAGTCCAACCAATAACCCAGCACTGAACATCCTTAGCTGTCCCAGAAACCTGTCTGCAAAGCTGCACAGAGCTCAGCAGCTGCAGCACAAGGCTGAGATGTGCCATTGCAGCTCCAGGTCCCCTCTGTGCCCGCTCAGCGAGGCACAGGGAGCAGCCTCTCCCTCTCTCCCAGCCCCGGGTGATTCTGGCTCTTCCCTCTGCAGGAAAACCTCTCACAACCACCCTGCTCCTCCCATTCAGCTCCTCACCCCCAGCACCGAGGCAGCCTTGCCACTCCTCACAAAGCTGCAGGAAACAAAGCAAAAAGTGCCCTAAATCACCTTGACATTCCCAGAGGTTTGGAGAGCTCTATCCAGAGAGACAGGAATTAATCCAGTGAGTGACATGAGCTGCTGCTTGCTGTCTCTGCTGGAGCCTGGCTTCTCACACAGCTGAGGGAACACATGAGAGCCAGAAATGGAAAAAAAGCCCTTGTGAGAGTGAGAAGAAAAGCTGCTCACAGGCACTGGAACCAGGCAGGGACTGAAACTTCTCCACAGAAGGGGTCTGAAACCTCCCAGCACAGATACAGACACATTTACAGACCTAAAACTGCAGAGATGTAACCGCAGGGTTTTGTTAGACACTGATCTGGGGAGAAGAGAAGGGACCTGGAGTTTGTCATCACAGCCAGAGGGCAGCTGCAACAAAGGGCTGTGTAGTGCTGATGGTTTCTAGCAGAGCCTGGAGATGAGCACTGGCCAGGATTTTCCTGCACAGCACAGTCTAGAGGGAATCTGCTCCCTTGTGCACCACGTAATTCCCACTGAAGCATCAGATCTGCCACAAAACCATCTGGGATCAAACAAGTGCAACTAGAAAGGGAAAGAAGGGCTCTGTGAGAGGGGCAGCAGCACCCACCACTCCAGGAGCCAGAACAAGCCACACAGTACAAGGACAATCCCTTGTCACCCTGGGCTCTGAAGGGCAAACCTGAACAGGAACAGCATCCCTGGGGTCACACAGGACCAGTGACATGTGGCACCTTCTGCTGCCCATCTGGAAACCTTTCAGGTGCAAACCAGTCTGAACACATCAGAGCTTTTGCAGTTTGCACCCATCTCCAGTCCCACACTCAGCTCCTGCAAGGAGAAAAAAAATCATCTCAGCTCTCAGGGAGACACCCAGACCTGGAGCTTCAGAAACAGCACATCCAACAAGCTCCAGGAGCCAGGACAATGCTGCACACACTCATCTGCAGTGGGGATCCTGTCCTGGCTGAGGGAATTCTCCAGAGGAAAGCACACACTGCAATTAGCAAGGATGGAGGTATCACACCAGCCCCTCCTGGCACTGCTGCACCCACAGAAAGGTTTCTGGAGAGGAGGATGTGTTTCATCACTGCCTGTTCCTCTGTCCAGCTCTGACCAGAAGTTGGTTTTGTCCCAATACATTATTTGTTTGCACTCAGGAAGGTCTGTTCCCTCCTCTGCAGGATCCCTTCAGCTCTCCAAAGCACAGACTGGGAAACAAGGACTTCTGGGGAGCAGCGTGGAGTGGCACAGAGGAAAGGGCAGTCAGGGATGTCTGAAGTGGGATGTGTGCACGTTTGGGGTACAAAGGCTTTATTCAAAGTGCATGCTTCTATCCAGAGGTACCGAGAGCAAGGACTCCCTGCCCCAGGGAGCAGCCTTTGCCACCCCGAGCCCTGTCCTTCACCACAAACACTCATCAAGTAGCCAGGGGCTGAATGTTCTTGAGCATCTCGTCAAAGGCCTCCCGGGAAGGCGCTTGGGCGTTCTGGAAGGAGACCTTGATGCGGCTGTAGAGGCTGAAGGATTTGAGCTCCAGCCAGATGAAGCCGAAGCGGTCGTCGTCGAACAGGACGAACACCCCCGGCGTCCTCTCGGGGCTGGTGAAGCCGTGGCCAGCAATGAGCCCTGTCCCGTAAAAACTGCCAGGGGATGAGGACAAAACAGGTGTGAGAGCAGCCAGGTTCACCCAGGATTTAGTTAAAAAATCAGCACAAAACTCTGATGAAGCCACTCTGCCCAGTGTGGCACAACAGCAAGGTTTACACTTGGTTTTTCTATTAAGATAAGGAACTCTCTGTTGATATTTGCAGGTTCCAGCTTTGGGTTATCCTAATCAGGACCTGCACACCAAAGCTGGGTTTTTCAGTATTTCAGCCCCCAAACCCATCTGAGATTAACTTGTGCAACTCAAGGATCAGCACAGGCTCAATCCTCCCAGGAAAGCAAAGGCATGTTGAGGCAAAAATCAAGGGAGAGAAAAATCCAAAATGCAGAAAAATCTATCAGGACCTGAGGAGGAATAAAGGTCAGTCAAAGCTCTGAGCAAGCAGCAGGTGGAGCAGGGCTTTATCCAAACACAACTGAGCTGTGACAGCAGGAGCCTTCTGGGATTAACCAGCTCTGGGTAGGTTTTTCCATGAGCACAGATGTTTGGCTGAAGGTCACCTGTCTAAGCCTCAGCTTTTGCGCTCTTTTTCCACACTTCATTTAGTGTGCTGCTTCACCAACTCCAGCTCCCATCCAGCAAGGCTCTCTGCATGCCTGCACCTCCTGCCTGGGGTGCTCAGCACCTGCCAGAGCTGCCCCAAGGCACCAGAGGCCAGGGAAAGGCGGGACAGAGCACTGTGTTCCCACAGCCAAGGGACAGGAATGACACACATGGGAATGGGAAGCAGCTTTAACAGTTCTAAATATATGAGCTGGGGAGCTCTGGGACATAAAACACACCAAAAAAAAAAAGGGGGGGGTGTGTGGAATTTAGAAGAGGTGCCAGCTTCTGAAGTAAATCTAGCAAGGAAGTGGGATGGCAGATGACAGCGTGGTTAGAGAGGGAACAATCAGAGTGTGGGAAATTGGGCAGCAGAGGCAGGAACCAGAGACTGTGGATTCCACATCCCTGGAAATGTTCAAGGCCAGGTTGGACAGGGATTGGAGCAACCTGGTCTAGTGGAAGGTGTCCCTGCCCATGGCAGGGGTGGAAAAAGATGGGATTTTAGGTCCCTTTCAACCCAAACCATTCTGGGATTCTGTGAAATCTGAGCCCAAGGGGCTGGGAGATCCACAGGCAGGTAAAGGGCACACAAATACAGGACACAGCTCAAAGATTCCCCCTTCCCTTTCAAAACCATAAAACCACCAGTTACCAGACTCGGCAGGTCCGGGGATAATCCTCATTCCTCGATATCACTCCCATGGGCAGCACGAAGGGCTGGGAAGCTGAGGCCTTGTCCTGGGTCGTCCCCTGTGCCCCAGCTGCAGTCTCTTCCCCCTCAGCACCTTCTCCTCGCAGGGGGCTGGCAGGCTGGGAGGCAGCCTGCTGGGAATGCTCCTTCTCCTCCTGCCGCTGCTCCCGCTCCTGCTCCTCCCGCCGGACCTGCTCCTGCACCTCCAGCACGATGCGGGAGAGCTCGCTGAAGTCCCGCAGGTTCTCGATGTCAGGCAGCTGCAGAGGATGTGCCAGGTCTATCTCCACGGTCTGCTGTCCAGCTGGGATGTTGGGATCTCCCTAAGGACAGGAAGGAACAGCACGGCTGCAGACACCAGTGCTACAGAACCATCACCTGAACTTGTTAGTAGTTCACCCTGTTCTACAATCAACAAGCTGGCAATAAAAAAACCTTGCTTGGATCTTTTCTGCCATCTCTGCTTTTCCCTTCCCAGAACAGGACTTTAAATCAAAAGCTGTATTTGCAAGGGTGAAAGAAAGTCGAAGCTGCAGCTGCAGAATCCCTCCCTGCAGGGAGGAAAGGAGCTCCCCTGCCTGACTTCAGTGAAGAGCTGCCAACATCTGGTACCTGCTCCTCACACACACACAGGGGATCTCCAGTGACCTGCTACCAGCTGCTCACAGAAAGCAGCTGGAAGTGAAAGGAAAGGAAGGGGGAGCTTGAGCAACTTTGCAGAGAGCAGGTCCTGGTGACTCTGTGTGTGCTGAGATTCACCCAGTGCCACCAATCCCCACAGGGAACAGGGTTTGAGCTGCCAGACAGAAATCTCTCCTGCACATCCACTGAGAACACCTTCACAAGCAGAAAGGAAAATGCACTCACAGTGATCTTGGTGCCCTTGGCTTTCTTCCCATGAAAGCTCAGCATGACAATCTCCAGCCCGTGGCTCCCGTAGGTGCCTTTGAAGAGGCCGGGCTGGATGAGGTCCTCGGGGCTGCTGGGGGGGAGGTAGATGCGCCGGTACGTCAGGCAGTTGCTGTGCAAGACAAAAACATCAGAGAAGTCAAGAAAAAAACCCTCCTCAGCAGCAGCAGTGTGTTTGCATTCTGCTCCTCCAGCAGCTTGGGGATGTTGTCAAGACAGGCAGGATCTGTGTTTGCAGCAAGCTCAGGATTTGCTTTAGAGCTCTGCAAGCACTTCCTCCCTCCCTGTGCTGCTCTCCCCACCATCCTCGTGAGCACACCAGGAGATTCCTGCAGCAAGGAAACTTCCTCAGCCCTTGAGATTCCTAGAGAACCTGAGAGTGAAGCATATTTAAACATCTGCTACAGTGAGGTGGCTGCTAATAGAAGCTTGGAGAGCTGGTTAAAATCCCCAGTTTCTCAGGGAGTCTCTAATTCCTGCACTACAAAGCACACTGACTAATATGGATAATAACCAGACACTCCTTGGGATCACAGGCATTTGCTCTGTCTTCAAATTAAACAGAGTTAAATGGCTCAAAAGCACCTTACTGTGCATAGTTATTGTGTAGAACTTGGAACCCTGTTCCTACTGCTGTCATTCCACCTCATCTCCCTGTACAGCTGGGAAGCACTGCAGAGACACAACATTCCTCTGGCTGTGAAAGCCCATGGAAAACCCCATCTCAGGGAAAAATGCTCCAGAGTGTGCTTGTGAAGGTGCAGCAGCCCTTACTCATATTGGCTGGTGTAGATGAACTTCATCAGGATGAGCTCCTGCATGTGTTCGTGGAAAATATCCTCCAGAGTCCGACCCCACTCCTCCCTCAGCCACGTCCGGAATTCCTGCAGCACGAGGAGAAAAGGGGGAGGAAAAGGGGGAGGATGAGGTGGTTTCAGTGATGTGCCCCAGGATGGCTTCACTGTGTGACTCTGTGACAGCACATTTCACTGGCAGAGACACAGACAGGGCACATCCTCTGCCAAGGACAGGGAAACGTGGTTGGATTTGGGAACAAGCACGTGTTGGCTTGGAAATAGGCTGAACGAGTAGTGATTCTGGTAACTGCCAGTGATCACACAGTAAACAGGCTCCCCTTCAAATAAATCCCAGGTAGAAGCAGAAACCTCCTCAGAATAAAGGCATGAGCATGGCCTGTCACTGCAGAGCAGCTCATCTACTCTTTCTCTCACAGTAACTCATTTGTGTGCCCACAAGCTGACTCCTGTGCCCTGTCCTGACACACTCAACATAAAATAAAAAAGCTTTTGAAAAGCACTGAGGGTTTAGGAGGTTAAATCCTGCTGATTTAATACTGATGCATCTAAATCTAAAGGGTGCTTTGAAAGCATCTCCTGAAGTACCCCAACTGCAGCTCTGACAAGTTAATACCCTGCCATGAGTTGGTGTGATAACAGCTTACACTGAGATAGCAGCCTGCCAAGTGATATTCCAAACCTGCCTCCTTTATCTTCCCAAGCCAGATCTTCCAATTTCCATAATGCCACGCACACTTAACGTGGTGCTTTGAAAGTATTAAAGCATTTCTCATCTGTTCCAGCACCAGAAAACACTTCAGTAAACCTTTCACCCAGCTGTTTCCCATTAGCAGACAGACATTTTACAGCATTCCTCAGAAAGCAGCTGAAATATCAGATTTGTCACGTGGAATCAGCTGGAAGCAAACAGCAGTACCTGGCACAGGTACTCATCCTGCCATTTACACCTGCATTTAAACAATTTAAACACAGGTATTTCAGTCAGGAATCTGCCTTGCTGGGTAGGGCTGACAGACACAGGAGAAACAACCAAATGAAGCTTTGAATCCCTCGAGCAAGGCAAGCAGTGGGAAGGTGCCTCCCTGACCAGCAGGTATCCAAGTGCAGCTGGTGCTCACTGTGTTTGAAAGATCTTAATTATCTTAATTATATGAAATCAGTGCCTGGAGTGTTGCTGATGCCCAAGATGTGCTGCTGAGCCTCCCTGGACAGGTCTGCTACCAAAACAGGAGGAAGGTGCCGGGGCTCAAAGAGCACCTTGACACAGAAAACTGCCTGAAACAGGGAACGAGCCAAAAGCTCCCAGCCTGGGGGTTCATCCATGCCCAATCACACAGGAATCAGAAGGGCACGTCCCACACCCCTCCAGCAGGGAGATCTCAGGGAGGGGACACACAAAGAGGCTCAGTGAGAGCCCTGGCACAGCACTCACCTCCTGCCTGCCCCCTGACATCCGGTGGTGATCTGTCTGGTTGCACTTCGTGGAGAACTCGTCCTTCTTTACAATCTGCGGTTACCAGGGAGGAGAAATGAACAGGTTACACACCACTTTAGAGACACCTGGGATGATGTAGCTAAGACTGCTCACAGTAAATGCTTTACAAAACAAACATTACTGGATTTACTACAACAGAGAAATCATTCACTGCTACCGAGTGCAACAGCTAAAGAACAGAGAAATAAAAGCAATAAAACCTCAGTGCACTCTAATGAAAATAATATTTTTAAGCTGCTTCCCAATTTCAGATTCCTCCTTTAAAGAAAAACAACCTGTCAGGAAGCTTTTCAAAGCATCCAATGGATGCTGCATCACCTTCTCAAGGCCTCACCGTGGAGAGAGCTGCAGAACAGGTCTGTGTCTGCCTGGGCACCCTCAGCAGCTGCCCAAGGCCAGCTTACACATCCTCTCCCCAGTCTGTGCACATCCTGGTGCTCCCAGCCCAACAGAAATCAGCACAACAGCCTGGCTGTGCCATTGCCAGGGAACAAATTCAGAGCAGGGAACAGCCCACACAACTTGTCAGACACATAATGAGTGTAAAGCTGGTGCCCACACACGCAGCAGGGTGGTGAAAGCCGTTATCTCTGAAATAAAATTCTCCCATTTCCAGAGCCCAAGTGCACACACAATGCCGAGGGAGGCAGAGCTCACCTGGATGTGGCCATTGTGAGGTCCCTTGTGGCCATACATGCACTCCACCGTGGCACATTTCCTCTCCATGAGGTGGATCCTGAAGAGGGGCTTAAATCTCATGGGATCATCCACGTGAGGGTCATGAGGGGGCAGGTACATCCAGCCAATGATGAACAAACCATCCACCTGCAGAGGGACAGGGCACAGAGCCCACGGGATCAGCTCTGCAGGATTCTTTAGGAGTCTGCAGCAAACTCCGAGGCCTCTCGTGGCCCAGGAGCTGCAGAACAGCTTGCTGCATTCCCAAACAGCTTTCCAGCCATTAACCCAGACCATATGCACTCCCAGGGTGAAGAGGGTTTCTTTACAAGGCTTCCTGCACCGCTGGAAAAAGCTCAGGCCTTTATTGCTGCGAATGACTTGCCTGGAGTGCAGGATCCAGAAGGAAAGACCACACAGCAACTCAGACTCTAATTGGTTTGAGAGCTCCTGCTGGCAGATATTCCAGCAGATGAATTCTGCTTCCCATGACTATCCCTGCTTTTTGGATGAGGAGTTATTTGGCTTTACTGCTCAAAGAACATAGGAGCAACACTCTCCACAGCCCCCTTCCTGCACGCCTACAGAATCCCTTCCCTCGGGGCCTGCAATTCCAGAGGCAGGATATTCTCCAAACAGACACCTGAGACCACGACAGGGCAGTGCCACAGAGACTTTCTAAGGTCACAGGGAAGTACTGATGCAGCAGGATGCCCTCTTACACCAGTTCAGGCAACAGAATCTTGCAAAACCCAAAGGCCTCATGATTTGTTCCGCTTCGAGCTGGCAGCTGTTGAACCTTGGTGCAGAGAACAAGAGCTCCAGGCAAACTCCTGGCTCAGCCCTCACAGTTCAGAGTCAAATGTTGTTCATTAACTGCTCTCCCAGCAGCACCAGAGCTGCCAGGCTCCACAGATCTTGCACCAATGTCACTCTACACCTGATGCCTGACGAGTCTTAGGGCTGAGGTAAAGGTTTGCCAACCATGCAACTGCAAAGCCTTTGCAAAAGGTTCAGCTGCAGGCAAAGAAAATGAAGAAAATGAACAGACTCCTGTGCCAGCCACTGGAGTATCAGTGTCTAAAATCAAACCTTTCCCTCAAACACTGATCATGTTTTCTACCTGCTCCTGGGGCTGTTTGGTGTGGAGAAAGGTGGTGATGATGAGAATCCCAGAACCATTCCGGCTAAAAAGAGCTCCAGGACCATCAAGTTCAAGCTGTGAGCAATCCCCACCCACAGCAATGAGTGCCACATCCCCTCCAGGGATGGGGATCCCACCATGAGCAGCCCCCTCCTGTGTTTAACAACCTTTGCTGTGAAAGAATTCCTCCTGATGCCTTAACCTAAGAGAAACCAAGAAAGAACCATGGAGCACCCTCAGCGTCCAAATCAATCATCTGAGGGCTGACTGCTCAGACTTTTTAGTGGTCTGGGAATGGCTGCCAGGTGTGGAAAGTGTGACAAACCAGCTCTCAGCCCCCAGAAGACCCGGGCTGAGGCCCTCACTCACCACCACGTTCAGCAGTCCCCCGTAGGGCCCGATGTCCGGCTGCCACAATCCCAGGATGTGCCGGTAGCGGTGCAGCACTAGGGAACAGGGAGACACTCAGTGAGCACATCCAGCCAAGGAACTGGGATTTTGGGAATGAAAACCCTCCTGGCCAGGCTGCACACAGCACCCACAACTGCATTTTCTCAGCAGGAGTGATTGTGTGCAAGCTGAGCCCTCCCCCAAGCTCACATTTATGTTCTTTATTCCTGGCCCTGTGGAAAGGCAGAACCACCTACCTCAGCAGGAATTCCCAAAAAACTTTTGCAACACAGTCCCATTAATGCAAACCACACAATATAACCAGAGCTAAAAAACAAATAAAAGCATCTGCTGCCTCCAGTTACAAAAAATGCACTCGATGCTTCACACTGCAAAGCAACAGAAAATAGGGAAAGGCAGGAAGGTAGGAAGGAACAGGGAAATTGGAGTATTTTGAAAGCATTTCACTGCCTTGTGTAGACAAACTTGGCTCCAGAGTTAAGCATCCTTAGAAGCAGCCACTGGGAGCACGGGCAAAGCACATGGATCACTCCAGCTTGGGAATCTGGTGGTCTGGCCACATCAGTCAGGGCCTTCACAACTCTCCAGAAGCAGCCACACCTCAGGAGTGCCCAAAAGCTGCTTCCAAAACCTACTCAAAATCTATACCAGCAGTTAAGGCTTCCCTGTTTCCCATCTCAGAGCCAGCTGTCCCTCCAATCCCACCTGAATAGAGGAATATTTTCAGCAAGCAGGAAAAAAGGGCTTTTACAGAACGATCTTAAACCTCCTGTTGTGAGAAAAGCTGAGAGATGGGACCTGCATCCAGCCCTTACACAGCCATTCCTCTTGTCCATCTAATTCCCTTTTGTCCATCTTGGTTTCCTCACAAGACCAGTAACCTTCACAAGAAGATATTACAGAGTTTGGCATTTTGGGCAGGAACAGCAGCATGGAAACCTCATTGTTTCCATGAAGACAGCAAGAAGATATTTCACTGGTATTTCATATGTCCACGGCCACCTCAGAAGGCCACAGTAACTCATTTTAACCTCCAGGACTGACATGAATAACAGGGTTGGGTTTGCATCAATTTAAAAGAAGAATTGTGTCTCAGTGCAGCTGCTCCAGCAGCTTTGTTGCATTATTTATTTCAGACAGCAAGAACTACAGGAGTGGTTTTATTCCACCAAAAGCAAGAATTTCCACAGGAGTTTAGGATGGCAGGGAGGGATGTCCAGAGCTGCTGAGCTGGAGGAGCCTTTTTCCTGGGCAGTAAACAACTTCAGACTGGCCTGGTTTCACCAAGGGAACCAAGTGCAGCACAAACAACACTAAGGCAAGCAGGCAAACCCCATTTCCAGCTCAGTAATTACACGTTAATTAATGGAATGAGCTGCTCCGCCCACCACACTCTGCCTTCTACCCTGTCTGCCACAGAGCTGATAAAACCCAGCCTTTTTTTATGTATTATTATTTTTTAGGACGGAAAACTAAGCTATCCCAAGGGGATGAGGATGTCCCTTCTGGCCCAGCTCCTGTCAGGAGCAATTTCAGGAAACAGAGCTGAGTTCTGAACACAGGAGGCCAAAAAAAAAAAAAAAAAAAAGCCATTCACTTCCAGAACTTACTGGGGAAAATGCTGGTGCTTGGCCAAAGGCCCAAACAAGTCTCAAAACACAGCTCAGTTTTCAAGCCTGGGCTGTCTCTGAGCTCCAGCAAAAACAGCAGCTATTATCAATTGCAGGGAAAACCTGATTAATTCCAGCTCTGGCTCTTCCTGGTAGGAGACAGGATGGATCTGGCTGTTGTTTCCCTTTCTGCTCCTCGAAAGAAAACAGCACTTAAGTCTTTCTCCAAGCTTTTCCACTGCCTCTGCTCACTCCCGGAGAAGCCTCTTGCCTATCCAAACTTCTGAGTCCACATCCTGCCAAATCACAAAACCACATCCACTGGATGCTCCAGGACAGCTTCACCCAGCCTGGATATTCCACATGTTCCACGCTCTGCACACCCTTCAGATGGGAAGGGGGCTTGAATCCAGCTGGGAATGGGCTTGGAAAAGCAGGGAATGCCAAGCTCCCACTGACAAAAGGCTGCCTGGGGCATGTCCTGACCAGGAAAGACCCAATCCACTGCAATCCCCCCAGATTCCTGGGATGCAGGAAGGTCTCTAGAAGCAAAATCAGCTGGAGCAATGTAAGCAGGGCCCTGGTTGGTGATACATGGGAAGAGCTCAGAGTAATCCAGGTGAGCTTAAACCCCTGGGGAAAGTGATCTGAGCTCACCTGGCTGACCCTGCATGAACAGGAATTAGGGAAGAGTTCCATAGAAAATCCTGACAGCACAGGAGGGGGAAAAAGGGGAAATGGGCCATTGCATCTAAAACGACATGGGCTCAGAACCACAGAATCATTTAGGCTGGAAAAGACCTCTAAGATCACCAAACATTGAAGGTTTTCCCCAAGAGAAAAGGGGCACATCAGAAATTTGGGGCTGCAGCTAAAGAAATAACAACTGAGGGAACAGCACTAAATGCCATTTAAGTTTGGAGCAAACATCCAGTCTCTAAAGGAATCCATGTTGCAGTTTGGATTTGCTTCTCCTTCCCTCCAGGCCCAGAACACAGCTGGTGTTGACAGGTAACCAAACCCAAAGCTTTGTCCCAATTCCTGCTGTAGTCCTGCTGCTGGGCTGTCCTGACTCACATTAAACCCAAAACTTCATCCCAATTGCTGCTGGTCTGTCCTGACTCACATTAAACCCAAAACTTCATCCCAATTGCTGCTGGGCTGTCCTGACTCACATTAAACCCAAAAACTTTGCCCCAGTTCCTGCTGTAGCCCTGCTGCTGGGCTGTCCTGACTCACATTAAAGTCACCACCTCCCCTGCATGGCCCCTGCTCAGTTCTTCCCTCAGCACAGGGAATTCTGCAGCATCCACTCACTCATTAATGTGTGGAAAAAACTCCATTCCCAAGCAGCAGTGAGTCTGTAACTGGAGTCTGCCAAACTCTGCAGACCCAAAGGAGCATCAGAGACAGCTCAACATCCCCTCCAAATAAAAACCAAATAGTCCTGGCTTCCTTAATCGATGCAGACTAATCAGCCCTTCCCCCTCAATTGCTGCTGAACACTAAACTCCCGAGGGTTTAACTATTCCTCCCTCAACACAACAGGAGGAAGGGAAAAAAAGGTTATCCAAAGTGAGGAAGGCAAATCACAATGTTTAAAACATTAGCACAACGTTGCCTAGAGAAAGAGCTGGTGCTTAAAAGGATTCAGTGTGCAGGGAGGGAATTACTATGGGAACACTCAGCATTTTTCACTGGAAAGGGCTCACTTGAATCACGACAAAGCTTTTTGCCAGTCCAGGGCTGCCTTTGGGAGGCCTCACCAAGGTATCTGAATTCTTTCCTCAGAGAAAGGAGCAATTCCCAGCGAGCAGAGTGAGTGCTCCTGCTGTGTGCAAAGAGATCCTCAAAGAAGTATCTCAAAAAAAACCCAGCACACCTCAGTGCCCACCCTGCTCACGCTGCCACCCTGCAGGGTGACACACACCAGCCACTGTGGGAGCCCAGCACATCCCTCTGGCTGCCTCCAGACCCTGGCAGGGGCTCAGAGACCTTGGCACAAAGTCAAAAACACCTGTGGGTTCCATTTCAGCCCGTGGAAAAAGCTGCCGACTCTGTGTGAAGAATTACAAGCCACAAGTGTTTGAGTAGTGTGATAGTTGAGTTAGCACAGGGTGGAAAAGTAGAATTTCAGGGTTTTTTAGACTAGGATTCAGGGGGTCAAGATGGAGGGATATGGGTGTGTCCTGACCTTCTTCTCCTTCTTCTTGTCCTCCATGTGTTGCTGTGATGGTGACACTTTTCTATTGGTTTAAGGTAGAGACACGCTGTCCAACATAAATGATAGATATTGGCACAATATTGTAAACAGGTAGTTTTGGGTATAAAATGTAAATGCTGCCCGAAGAAGCACACAGAATGCCATGGCTTCCTTGCTAGACAGAGCTCAGCAGGTCAGAGATAGAATGTTCCAGATAAGGAAAAATAAACAACCTTGAGAAGGTGACCCTACACATTTCAGACTCCTTCCCTGGCAGCACGGGCTGGGAAATGAGGAATTTACACTCTTGGGGCCATCCCAGCACCGCAGACCCCGAGAAGCCAGCACTGGTGGCACCTCCCTGCTGTGCCAGGGCCAGCCCCAGCGCTTTGCCCCAAGGCAGGGCACACTCCATGCAGCAGCCCGGGCGTGCTGGGTGCAGAAGCAGCAGCAGCAGCAGCGGGGTACGTACGGCAGGTGTAAACATCTCTGTACTCCATGTGCTCGTAGTCGGGCAGGATTTTCATAAAACGCCCCGACTTCACCCGAGGGTTTATACCTGAACAGACAGAGCAGGGTGAGTGCCAGCAAACTCTGCTCCACTGGGACCAGCAAACACTTCCAGGGATCTGCACCAACCACGCAGGGAAGTCCTGCTCCCTCCTGACTTTGCTTCCAGTTGTTTCCGTCACCCTCAGCCTCACGTGAGCAGGATTTCTCACACAGAACTTGTTCCAGATTGCCACAGACATTATTTACAACTGGCAGCCAGTGGAATCAAAGTCCTTCCTCAAACTCTGCACTGCTGCCTCGAGAAGAACAAGTCACTCCACGGGCAGCAGCCCAGGCCTTGGATTAGTTCTGCTTTCAGGCACTTGAGCTCAGCTCCCATTTTCCCACACCATTTCTCACAGAAGCACACTCAGGGAATGGAAAAGTCCATGCAGTAATCCCAAATTAACTCCTCTGCAATTAAAGAGGTTTATGGGCCAGTAGAGAAAATGGAAACTGCTCCTGGCACAGGGCAAAGTGCAGAATCTGAGCAGAGGAGCTGAGATGGGGCATCCTGAAATTCAGGAACAGCTGCCAAGCATTCCCACTTTGCAGTAATAACCATCCGTGCTTGGGATTGCTGGGGGGTACAAACACAAACCTTCCACAGAAGGGCAGGAAAGGCCATCACAGGAGTGCTTCTCACACATTAAGTGTGACCCTTCGCTAATGGATGACATGGATTTGGAAACTACTCATGGAAACTTAGATGTGAGACAGATTTATTGCAGGTTATTAAATAAATAACCTGATTACACTCTGGTAAGCTGGAAAAAGTGGGAATGTTTAGGAAAATATGCCACAGGCTCGTCCTCTCCTCAGCCTCCCTCCCCACAGCCATGGCTGGGAGATACTGGGGTGCAGAGTCACCACTGTCCTGAGCCAGTAAGGCCATTTTTACCCACAACTTGTGCATAAAAACCACTAAATATCACTTTAGTGTCTCTGAACCACGGAAGTTATGCAGTGAAAAGGACTACAGGCCCTGAAGAGGTGTTGTGCCACTTAAAAATGGCAATGAAGAGCTGAGATCTGACCTGGTATGTGCTGTGCGGTGGCTGCCACCACACAAAGATATGGGATTAAACTGGAATTAAGGGAGGCCTCGAGGGTTAATGGGACTCCTTTGGGGACATCTGTGTGCTGGCTCAGCATCACTCAGCCCTCCCAGCCCCGAAAATGAGGCAGTTCCATCCCTAGACTGGTGTGCAATAGGGAAAGAGAGATATTAGGTGATGAAATAATTTTCCTGTGGATGCTCAGCAAGTTTGTTAAAGATGGGATTAAAGCTCTTCTGCCTGTTCTTCTTCCCAGCTTTAAGATCAATGCTTGAGGTCATTGATACTTCAAGGTTCTAAAGGGTCCCACACCCACAGACATTCCCAAAACACACAGACACCTCCTGCCAGGCTCTCTTCCTTCAGGGAATGCTCATCCCTTTCCCCCTCTCCTACAGCCATTTCCTTTCACTGAGATCAAAGCTTAGGAAAAAAAAAAATCCGTTAATTCCTTAGCAAGATCTGAAAATAGCAAAACAGGATGAAAAACCCCTCAATACACCTCATTAAAAAATTAAATTCCATCCTCTTTTCCCACCAAAGGATTGGGAAGCACAGAAATCCTGACTCTTGGTATTAAATAAAACTCCAAACATGTCAACTTCCCAACGAAAGCCTTGCAAATCAGTCTGAACAACTTCTGCCATCAAAGTTTAATAAATATTCAACATTCCTGTGCTCTCCAAATTGGTATTAAGCAAGATTTGGATTGGCTTCATCACTTACGTTTGGCGTAAACATCTTGACAGGACACTCCTGTGATCTCCAGTTTCCTCAGGTTTTCACACACTCCATATTCTGCAACAACACAGGAAAAAAGAGTCAACTCTGGCACAAAAAGGTTTGGAGTCTTGACATCAGCTACTGAGATCTGATTTGTGCTTTCTTGAAGCTGCCAAGGCAGACCAAGAATCGGATTTTTTGCTTTAAAAACCGGATGTGATTCCATTGCAGAGTCCAAGATGTTTCACAAGCAATGCCTGCAACAAACACACCCAGCAAAGTCCCAGCTGCTCACATCTCGGCCAGGAGTGTGAAATGTGGGAGACATCCCCATTCCAGCTGGGATTGTGTGCTGTTCCCAGCAAATCACTGCTGTGTGCACAATTAGCTGCTCTCACCGAGGTACCCGACAGGGAAAACTGCTTATCAGGAGCCTAAAGGAAAGGTCACAGGCTCAAAAAAGAATGAAATAGAGACATAAAACAGGCCCCAGCATGTATAAATATGGTTACACTGAAAGCAGATCAGATTGAGACAGGGCTGCTGTACAGTCAGATGCCTTTGATTGCTTCCAAAACCCCCTGAAAACAAAGAGAGTTGGAGATCTCAGAGCAGCTTTGAAGCAGAAAATGAGATTCTCTCCTTTCATTTTCAGGAAGTCAACATTGGAACTTCTAAGAAACTTTAAAAAAAAAATAAAAGCAAGTATTAATGTCTTGATGCCAGGAATTCTCAGAAGAGCAGAGGGAGGAAATGAGAGGAGGGAGATCCCAAAAAATGAGCAGTGACAATGTCACGCTGCTGCAGTGACCCTGACAGATCTCAGTACAGAAAAGTTCCCTCCTTTACATGCACAGATCAAACAGGAGCTTTCCTCAGCAGCACAAACACCTGCCAGGTATTTGACACAAAAATGTATCTCTGTAGACCCTCATCAAGTCATTAAATACAAAAAGTGTATCCTCAGCTGAGCATCCTTGAATCAACAACTGTGGCTGTGAAGCACCACCTAATGCTGGAAACCTGCTGCAGGAGAGAACTCAGGTTTCAAATATGAGAAAAGCAGGAGGTTCCCTGAATTAATTCAGCCTCCTCCTGTCTATAAATACTAGCACACGAGGAGAGAGCTTTACTGGCAGCCTGTCTCCAGGGAATACACATCCTGCAAGATGAGGGGGGCACAGGGCACAACAAACACACTCCATCCAAAAACCCCTCCATCAGAAAATGCCAGGGCCAGCAGCAGAATTCCTGCTGGCTCCCGTGGGCAAAGCCAGAGGAAGCTCAGCCCCAAGGTGGGCTGGGGAAGCACAATTAGCAGAGCTGAGCTCGCAGGAAGAACAGCCCAGCACAAACAAACCATTGAGTGCTGGGGCTCTGCCAGCTGAGTGCTGCAGATCCATGGAGCCACAGCTCCAGGGAGCCTGGCAATGCAGAGCCAGCCTGCCAGAGCCCTCCAGGCTTCCCAGCACTGCTCTGCACGTGAGAGAGGGATGGGAGAATACTGCCAGGGGGTGCCAATACAGCCAAGGGATGCAGGAACAGTGTAGAATGTCCTCAGCTGACTGGAAAGTCCTTGGAAAAGGGCAGGAACAGCATGGCTTGGGAACAGACAACTCTTGTGCACCTAAACAAAACTCACTTGGCCCCAGTGAGGCCTCAGGTTTTAGCTTAGATATTTTCACATTCTGTGCTGCTTTAGTGTGTTGGTTTGGGCTTCATCAGGGGATGCTGAGCTCTCTGCACAGAGCAGGAGACAAAACAATTCCTGCTCCAGCTGGGCACCAAGGACAAATGATCCAAATCTCAGCCCAGGAGCACAAACACCGTGGGCTGGAGAGAGAAAAACAAGCAGGATGGGACTGCCTGGGCTAAAGCTGGAATGGGACAATGAACTCCAAGGTGCCAATGGAGCAGAACTGATCCCAGGGAGAGCCCCCGGGAGCGCTCGTGCATTTTGGGACCATTTTGGTTCATCTTGGGTTCATTTCAGGACCATTTTGGTTCATCTTGGGACCATTTTGGTTCACCTTGGGTTCATTTTGGGACCATTTTGGTTCATTTGGGTTCATTTTGGGACCATTTTGGTTCATCTTGGGTTCATTTTGGGACCATTTTGGTTCACCTTGGGTTCATTTTGGGACCATTTTGGTTCATCTTGGGTTCATTTTGGGACCATTTTGGTTCACCTTGGGTGCATTTTGGGACCATTTTGGTTCATCTTGGGTTCATTTTGGGTCCATTTTAGTTCACCTTGGGTTCATTTCGGGACCATTTTGGTTCATCTTGGGTTCATTTTGGGACCATTTTGGTTCACCCTGGGCGCAGCCCTGGCTGGGCTCTGGTGCTGCCCAAGGTGGATCCATGGAGGAGATCCTTTAATAAATCCCTGCTTTATTCCTTAGCTCTGTCCAGCTCTGTTCTAGCTCAGCCCTCACATGGCATCCCCAGGACAGGTGAGATGAGCCCTGGCCACTGCAGGTAGGGAAGGGATTTGTACTGCAGGACAAAGGGAGGAGACACGTGGAGGATCCTTCCCAAGTGGAATCTCCAACAGCACCAAGAGTAACATTCCCTCCTCCCACAGTTTCCCAAAGCCTTCTCCCTAATCCATGAATCCCTCAAGTGAGTGCCATGGGACCAGCAGTTACCTCCAAACATCAGGGTGGGAAGGGATTTGATGGCAAAGCTTCATGCAAAAGCCCCTGATAACCTGCAGTGAAATTTTATGAAAGCCAAACCATTATTAAAGTTGTTGTAATTCCAATCTTACCTGGAAAGATTCAAATGAATTCCTCTAAATAATAAAAAAATTAGTATTTCTATATTGCTACACACTATTTGTCACTAGATATCCAAGAGAGTATTATCAAGAAAAAAATAATCTCATCCTTATGTGCTTTAAGACTCATTTTATAACTAATTCTTATCCTGGTTTGGTCAGCAAACAGCTACAGAGAGTGAAAATGCCACAGTGATGGCTGAGCTCCATAAGTGCATTACTGCACCTCTTCTGACCCAGCTGCTCATACCAGCATGGCCATTTTGTGGGAAAAATCAATTTTTTGGCTCATAGTGGCTAAAAAAAAAAACACAACTCCAAATATCATAAGCAAGAAAAGCTTTTGACCCATCTCCTCTTAACCCAGAAGGCAAGCTGGACATAAATTAACAGCAAGCAGAGCTTCAAGATAATGAGAGAAAAATAAAACTGGTTAGGTTTTCTTTACAGAGAACAGAAATCCCTTTCCAAGAAAGATCTGAAGGGCTCGAGCTTCCTGGAAAATTCCACTTCACTGCAATTAAATCTATTTTAAGGAAATGTATCTGAGATTAAAGTAATTTTATTTTAATAGTCACCAAAATTCACACCCTTGGAAAATGGCTACTTAATCCTGCTTGCAAAGGAAGGCTGGAAATTGGTTTTCAGGTTCCCACTGACCAGCTGGAAAGGCTGCTGGTTTATAAGGAGTGCTGATTTCCCCAGCACAGGGACATGCTGCTGTTTCCATGGTCACATGCACGGGATCTGAAGGACTTGGAAAAGCAGTTTCCATTTGGAATGAGCTGCACTAACACTTCTGCAAGTGGTATTTATCCCTGCCCTGCTCCCAGCACTCCCAAGCCTCACGTTCCCTGTTCCTCCCCAGGAGAAGCTGTGTCACCTTCACCCTGCATGGACTATTCAGTTTAAAAACAAGCAAGGCTCTTCCATCCTGGGCTGGGAATAACAGCAAAGCTCACATCAAAGCCCAAATTCCTGTTTTTCTGCTGCCATTCCCAGCATGGCAATGCCAGGGAGCTGCTGGAAGCTGGGTGTGCACATCCACAATTTGGAGGAAATGAGGATGTCTGGCAGAGCTCAATCCCCTTCACCATTACTGAACTTCCACTGTGTCCTGGCTAATCAAATCTTCCAATTATCCCTGGATAAATGCATGTTCACAAGGCTGGACATAGAACAGAGGGGATAAAAACTCACTGGATTATTCCAGATACCAGAAAAATGGGAGATTCTCAGGTTAGCAGCTCTGAAGTACCAGGTGGACAAATTTGGAACTGGCTGCTTGTTTCCAGAGGTTGAGCAATCAGATTAAAACACACCCAGTCCTCTCCCAAACATTTCTTCCAGGGGAAGGCTTGGGGCTACCATCGAGGAACAGGAGATTTGATCTGCAATAAATGCACCTATTTGTGGAAACCCTAAATCAGAAGCTGGGCAGCTTCAGATGTGCAGCTTGAAGACAGGTCTGAGACTCTCTGAAGGGCAGCTGAGAGTGCTGAGCACCTGCCTGAGCAGTGAGGAACACCAACCACTGCCAGGCTGGAGTTTAAAAGCCTGGGAAAGTCATCAGAGAGGAAGAAATGCCACAAACTAACACCCCACACAATGTTTTCACCTCACACAAAGGGAGGTTGGAGCCTTGTGACTTATGACAGCCACCTTCACCAGGGCACAGCTCTGCAAGAAATGGTTCCTGTTGTGGCAGCATTTGTGCATCAAACTCCTGCATGGATGCCTTGGAGACTTTTAAGAGCTGAACCCCACCCGAAAGTCTCGTTATTGAGTGTACAAACCACATTTTCCACCCTTCTTTCCCTCCTCTTTCCACACAACCTGAAGGTCACAAACTTCAGCACCTTGGCTGACATTTTCCAGCAGGCCCAAAAGCTGCTGGAGGTTGTTTTCACAAACAAAAGCCTTTTCTTCCAAGCTCTAGAACTGGTTATTCTGCATTGCTGGTCTGTTCCCAGGTGTTCTGCTGCACTTGCCCTGCTCTGGTTAAAGATGAAAGAAATGAAAGATTAAAAATGGACTATAAGGTGTTAACCAAGGTAGGTCAGGCCACCAGCCAGGGTGACACGAGCTTTAATTCTGCTCCTGCTGCAGAGACCAGCAATCTCCTATTTATAGAAAACATGGAAGTGACTGCCAAGGAAGCAACCCAGAGACATTGTTTACCCCAAACAGTTGCAATGATAAAAGGACAACAGCTCTGCCAGTCGTGTCAGTGTTACACAATTCCCCCTGCTTCACCCCAGCTCCCCACCAGCAGCAAAAGCCACTCCACTTTCAGGCAGGCAAGTCCTTTGGACACTTGGAATAATCACAGCATGTTTTCAGACTAACCTACAGCTGGGCTGGCCCAACACTGCATGGACTGAGGCTCCATCCAGCCTGGGGCACAGCCAGGCTGCTCCTGCCCAAGGGAAAGGGGAAAAACAGCCAAAACAAAGCCCTGCAACAACAGCTTCTCCCAGAGAAGCTTCTCTCTGATCTGATTATTTCAGGATTCTTTCCTGCCTCTGCGCTGCTGCACACTCCTGGAAACAGAAGTGGTTTTGCACACGCAGCTGACAGCAAGATGAAGTTTCCCAGCTACTTCTGGAACGTCGTGCTGGGTTCGGATGATCCTCGTGGAGCCCTTCCAACTCAGGATATTCTGTGATTCCATGATCATCAGGAGGCTTCAGAGTAAATAAAGCAGCAAGGCACACGTGCTCCTGTTCTGTTTTTAGGACATGCAGCCTCACAACAAGGCTCAGGCAGACACAAACACACACAAACACTGAGCTCAGATAGGAATTGGTTTCAGAAAAGATTACAAAAAAAGATGACATTTTGTGTTTACATTTTATGTTTGACTATCATGCTGCCACCAGTGTATGGCTGTGCAGAATATTTGAAGTTTTTAAGTTTTAAATGTGTATGTATTTACCAATATCTGATGTTTACCTATAATGCCCAATTTTATACTCATGTGTACAACCATTCAAAGTTACAGTCCTACCTCAGCAGAGAATGCAAAGCACCACAAACAGCCTGAGAAGTCCAGCTGAGGAACTGCTTGGAAAACCACAGCTGGTTAAAAGATTCAGAATCACTTTCTCCATGGCAGGAGGATTTTGGCCAGGAACTGTCCCTTATCTGTTCAGCAAAGTTTAGAACCTGCCTTTGGTACAGGATCCTTCTCAGCCACTGCAGCAGCCACCAAAGCACTCTCTGACACTGCTTGGAATGGACATGTTGGGAAACTGGAGAAATTACATAAAAAGAGAATCAAAATCTGGTTTATACACCTCTCACCTAGCAGTTAGCTAAGGGCCATAGACAAAAGTGCTTTCTTGATACCTTCCCATCCTGTCCAGGTTAGTTTTATCCATGCAAATTCCACTGTTTCCTTCATTTCCTTAAATTTCAGCTGAGCTTTTGAACATTGCTTTATCCATTAGAAAGAAAATCCAAAGAGCAGACATGAATTTGATAAATAAATGTAAATCCCCATCAGACCTAATTTAGTAGGTCTTTTTTACAAACCAACCTAGCCTAGAGTTAAAAGTGACATTGATTTCTATATACACATTTTGCCAGGATCACAACCTATTAAAATAATTAATCAGGGAAGTTTTGCAAACCATTCATCAAACACATAAATCTCCATGCCAGTGGAAAGAAGTTTTAACACCATTTCATTAGCCTGCCTCTTAAAACCAGTGTTAAATTATCGGGACAATGCTGAATTATGAAATAATGCTTTGGTTCACATTTTCCAGGTGCAGCCTTTGTGCTGTCCAAAGGTTCTTGGATAGTGCTGATAAGGCACAAATTCCTTCCTGCAAGGTTTCAGGCATTCCACCAGATCCCACTGCAGGCAGCCACTGACATTCCCAAATCTCCCATCCCCGTGGTATTAAAAACAGAAAGCAAACAGGAAAATACACATGACTTCATGTGCTGGCAGCAGGAGCCCCTGGCAGGATGGCAGCGTTTGGAAGGAGGATGAGCACAGCCCTGGGAGGTGGGACAGGACTGAAATAAACACAGAGGACAGACAGCCACAGCGGTGGGAGGAAGAGGATGAGGAGTAAGGAGGGAGAACCGCGGCCTCCCAGAGCAAAAAACACCTCCCAGGCCTTCACATCACTGCAGCACAGCATCCTTGCTCCAGAGGATTCCTGGAAAAGGCACACCCGTACCTGGGAGCTCTGCACAGCGGCTCTGCAGCTCCCCAAAGATGCCCTTACCCAGGCTCGGCCTCCTCCGGGCCCAGCTCCCGCTGTATCCCCAGGAATCCCAAATTCCCCCTGTTCTCCCCCGGCGCAGGGGCTGAGCATTCCCTGTCCCTGAGATTCCCCAAGGACATGCTACACGGAGGAGGCATCATCACCCAGCGCCTGCTCCCATCCCATTTCCCCGGGGGACAACACAGCTCGATGCCCTTTGCCGCAAGTGCCACCACCAAGGGAGCGCATCCCAAGGGACCGAGTGCATCCCAAGGGACCGAGAGCATCCCAAGGGACCGAGCCCTGCCCGCTTCCGCACCTCGTACGTGTGGAGCCCTGCGAGCCCGCAGCCCAACCCTGATCTCCGTCCCCTCAGGACCGCCCGTCCATCCCCTCTGTGGCACCCCGGAGGCCGCAGCCCCCCCCGCACCGCTCGGTACCTTCGCGGCAGCGCCGCCGCCAGATCGTGTCGGTGCTGAGGATGCGGCGGAAGGTGGTGCACACCCGGGCCAGGCTGGGCAGGTCGGTACCGGGCAGTGAGCCGAAGATCTGCACCAGCAGCTCCGGGGGTAACTCCAACAAGGACAGCGGAGCCCGCGCGGCCGGGCAGGCCACGACAGAAGGCGGCAGCGGCCGCCCGCCTTCAATGCGCTCCGCGGCTTCATCGTCCTCCGTCACGCCGCCGCCTCCCGCTTCCTCGGGGTCCGTATCGGTGTCGGGCTCGCTGTCGGCGGTACCGCAGCGCTGCTCCCTGGCCGCACCGCGCCGGCGGCAGCCGCGGGCCGGCCCCACACCGCACAACCGGGCGCACACCGCCATGGCCGCCGCCGCTCTGCCGCCGCGCCGCGCCGCCCTGCCCGCCGCGGCCCGGGGCCGCCGCTGGCCCCGCCCACCGCAAAGCCCCGCCAATCAGCGCAGCACACCCGCGCGGCTCCTCCAATCAGCGCCTCCTCATCCAGCCGCGACACGCCCCCGCCGGTAGCGGACGCCGGTCCCTCACCGACACCGAGGTGCGGCCGCCTAGCGGGCGGACGGACGGCGCGGATGGCGGCGGCGGCGGTTGTGCCCGGTAACGGGGCGTGCTGAGGCCTTCCCGCCTCCTGCTGCAATTCCATGGGAAAAACAGACATCCCTTCCCTTGGGAATGTCTGGCTGCGGGAGAGAAGAGAGGGGGAAAAAAAAAAAAAGGAGGAAACCATCTCTGCCCCGTGTGAGGATCGAACTCACGACCTTCAGATTATGAGACTGACGCGCTACCTACTGCGCTAACGAGGCTCCTCGGTACACTCCCCGGCACGCAGGGATCTTGTTCCTGCGCCTCCGCCTCCCCGGCCTTTCCTGTCTTTACCGCCATTCCCGTTGTGCTGCCTGAGAAATCTATTTCCTTACAAAAGTCTCCTTTTCTGCACCTCTTTTGAGTGTTTCGTTGTTTTTTGCTCCCCATTCCTTCTTTTCCCTGCTTTTCTGCTAGCCAGACCTCAGATTTTTTGCAAATGGCTCCTCCTTCCTACGGTGTTCCACAAGAAACATCTTGGGTTTTGTCTTTTTTTTATATTATTTTTCCGTTTGTTTGTTTTTTTTTTTTAATGGCTCCTTTTTATTCCATTTTTTATTCCATGTTGTTCTGCAAAACAGCTGCAGAGTCCTTTGGGTTTTCTAAGCATCCTCATGCTGCTGGCCAGGAATAGACTGTGAGGGCTGCACTGGCAACAGGCTCACGAGGAAATCAAGTTGCTTCCACATAATTAACAAAAATTAGAGCCAGCCTCGTTTGCTGTGGAGAGACACTGCTCAGCTGGGATTTCTGCAGCGGATTGAGCTCCCTGCTCTCAGAGAGTGCTCAGCACAAGAGTGTCCCCAGTGATGCTGGCTGAAGCGCTGCCCTGAATCCTAATGGAGGGGCCTCACCCTCAGCGAGGGTCCCACGGATGCAGTCACCATGACAATCCAGCAACAAATCCCCAAATTGGCAGAAGACGGGAAAACAGGGATTTAATTGATGCAGAAAGTCTGAGAGCATCGCCCACAAGAAATCTCTGCACAGAGGCTGCTCTGCAGAGCAAGGAGCTGGCAGAGGATGAAGGAGGAGCAGACCTTTGTACACCGTAGAATCCCACAATGGTTTGGGTTGGAAAGGAGCTTAAAATCATCCCATTCCACCCCTTGCCATGGCAGGGGCACTTTCCACAGTCCCAGGCTGCTCCAAGCCCTGTCCAAACTGGCTTTGGGCATTTCCAGGGATCCAGGAGCAGCCACAGCTGCTCTGGGCAACCTGTACCAGGGCCTCAGCACCCTCACAGGGAGGAATTCCTTCCCAAAATCCCATCCAACCCTGCCCTCTGGCAGTGGGAGCCATTCCCTGTGTCCTGTCCCTCCATCCCTTGTCCCCAGTTCCTCTCCAGCTCTCCTGGAGCCCCTTCAGGCCCTGCAAGGGGCTCTGAGCTCTCCCTGGAGCCTCTCCTCTCCAGGTGAGCACCCCCAGCTCTGCCAGCCTGGCTCCAGAGCAGTTTTCCCAGCTTTTGGAGCATCCCTGGCTCCTCTGGACTCTCTCCATCAGCTCCACATCCTCCTGACATTGAGGGCTCCAGGGCTGGACACGGAGCTCCAGTGGGATTTCATGAGAGCAGAGAAGAGGGGAGAACCACCCTCCTTGTCCTACTGCTCACAGTCCTTCTCAGCAGACCAGACGAGATGTTTGAGCTGCCCACAGATTTTGCCAAGGGTCTGATGGGCAGCTGCTGTTGTTGGGGTCAGGAAACCCTGATTGCCAAGGGTCTGGCTGGCTGTGGGTATGGGATGGTGACATGACGAGTCCAGGCTGCCTGGCTCGTGGTACAAACAACACTGCTCCAGCCCTGGGATGAGTAAATGCTCGGCTTCTCCCAGGCTGAGCATTCCACCCCTGACTCTGCCCACGGGCAGGATGAGGTGGCATTTTTAGTGCTGTGCTAATCCTTTGGGGCCTCAGTGATGGACAAATGGAGTGCCCACATTTCTGATTACGTTACAAAAAGCTGCTCCAAGCACGTAAACCAAGGCACATGGACAGTGAGTCATGTAAACCGAACACCAAACCTTTGGAAATACGGCTGGAGCTGTTTTCCACCTGTAGGGAATCACGTGTTTTTTCCCACGTTACTTTATGCTCAGCTGGTACTTAAAGGTTCTGACACAGCTTTTGAAGGCCTTGTCATGTCTGTTTGTTTAGGAAGTGATGGATTCGTGGAGGGGACAGGGGAAAGTACTGATGGCAAGGATTTTTGTGTGAATGAAACAAAAGATGTCCTGGGTGACAATGCCTGGAGCAGAACCACGGCAGTCTACAGCACACACATGCTTTCCCCTCTTTTGCTTTTATATTTTTATCTGAATTTTATTCTTTCTCCTTTCCCACTGAATGCTCCTGCTGCCTAATCACCCTACAACCTCCTTTCCCTATAACCTGACACCACAATCTTGGCTCCGTGGGTGCTGAGCCACATTTCTCATCCATCAGAATTCACTTGGCCCACTGACGCCCTTCCCAGGCCAAGCCAGCAGAAGGCAGGAGTGGAAAGGGCTGTGATGAACACCCCATCACAGATCCATGCCAATTCCCACAGAGCTCCATTGCTCCGTGCTGATTTCCTGCAGATGAGGAAGGGCAAAGGGAAAAGGCAGAGCCCACCTCCCTCCCACACTGATGTCAGCCAGAGCCCAGCAAAGCCTGAGGCAAAGCTCTGTGTGACCATGTTTCCCCTTCTAACGGGACAGAGTGAGGGAATGCCAGCCCTTCATCACTTCAGAGTGGACAAACAATTGCTGTCTCCAATTTCCAGTGCTGTTCTTGTGGAGCAACACGCAATAGTTTTGGAGCTTGAGCACATCCAAGGTCCGTGAGGCCCAGAAGGTGGAGAGCTGGTGTGCAACAGGGAGGTTATAACTGAATATCACCTTCAGCTTCAGTCATCAAAGTCTAAAATTGCTGCTTTCTCCCCTATCTTACCAAATTCATTATCTGAATCAACCAGCTTTGTTTGTGACAGTAGGGGAAACAGGAAAAGTGCATTATCATCATCTCCCATGCTCTGTGGCACTGTCTGAGCACCTTCCTTGGAAAACATTCCCAGAGAAATGGCCTGGAGCCTTCCAGCGCTGCTGTCTGAGGCAGGCAGCTCGCAGCCCTTACCACAGGGCTCTTGAAAAAGGATGTAACGAAAGGGGAAATGTTATTGTTTCATTTCCCCCCAGCAATTAAGGAGCTGATGCAGCTCTCGCTGTAGTCAATTAGCCTTCACGCTCACTAAAGGGCTTTGGATGGGTCCCAAAGTTAGTGTCCTCATTTTCTGTAATCCTGGAAGTGTTTATGCCTTCCCAAGCTCTGAGCAGGGGTGAGCCAGCTGATGGCACATCCAGCCAATTATAACCAGAACAGTGAGGAAAGAATGATTTATTTTCCATTTGGCAAGAGGGACAGAAAAGTATGGCAAGGCAGGCTGAGACAGATGAACAAACCCTGTCTGCAAGCCTTGCTTGCCACAGAGAGTATTTGCAGCATGTTTTTTTGGCATGGGACTACACTGAGATTTCTGCTTTGTAATAAAAAACAAAGACTGCTCCTGCCTCCTAAAAAACTGTTCCCATCCTTGGAGGGAGGACACATCAAAGAGAGAATATCCCAATAGAAATGCTGAAGAGTTTTGCTTTGGTTTTTGTAATTTGTATATTTTAAGCTGGAAAACAGCTCCTCTTGTCCTGGGTCTGTGATTTCCCACTTCCTTGATTTGTGGACATTGATCTCACCCGATTTGCAGGATAAACAGCTCTGGACAGGCTGAGCTCTTCAGGGAAAACCCAGAGCACTGCAGAAAAGCTGCTGATGGCTCAGGAAGTGGTCACATCCTTCTGCTTTAGAGCAGAGCTCCGTGCCCTCTCTTTAACTGGCTCCCCACTCCAGAGGGCAGGGATAGATGGGATATTGGGAAGGAATTCTTCCTGGGAGGGTGGTGAGGCCCTGGCACAGGTTCCCAGAGAAGCTGTGGCTGCCTCATGCCTGGAAGTGCCCCCTGAACAGAGCTTGGAGCCACCTGGGACAGTGGAAGGTGTCCCTGCCACAGCAGTGGGGTGGCACTGGATGAGCTTTAATTGTTCCTTCCAAGCCAAACCTTTAAGATCACTTCCAGACTTCCACCCCCAAACATTCCATGAGTCTATGACTTATGGAAGAGGGTATGATCTCTCTTCAATGTCTGTCCTTGCTTCCATGAGGAATCAGTGGATCTAAAGGCTGTGAGTGCCTGGAGTCACCCAAGACATCACAGCACTTCTACCACAAGCAGTCCTTGTCCCTCCAGCTTTGGCCCCAGTCCAGCCTGAACAATTTAGTCCTGTTCAACACCTGGAACAGCTCAGCTGGCAGAAGGATTCTCCAGCTCTGGAGGGGTCAGATGCTGGGGGTGCTATTCCTGGCTGCTGACCTGTGGTTGTGCAATCCCAGGCAGCTCACGGAACCTCTCAGCGTCAGCGAGGAGAACGTTTTCTGACGCACAGGCAACTTCGTGCTCAGTTAATATTTGAACACGTGGGGGATTGCTTCAATCCTAGGAGTATCAAAAATCCTAGGAGTATCAAAAATCAGGGGGAGACCTTGTTACTCGCTGTGTTATTCCATGGTTTCCCCACTCTGCCTCCCGCGCTCGCGCTGTTGCTGCTGCTTGCCAAGATGTTATGGATTTTCTGAGTGAAATTAGTACACAAACACAGCTCACTGCTGCTTACACCAACTGATTCGCCGTGTTCCATCAAGCAACATCTCCCATTTCAGATCCTGGAGCCAAGTGCTGTTTGCTGGAACAACAGGAACAGCAGGAA